TTGAAGTCTGCATATATATCAGTAGTTGAATTTTTTTCAGGGATAATTTCTGGTTTTTGACAATGCTCCCATTTTATTCCAATGGCTTACCATAGGTATTAAGGAATGCCACCTATACGCGAGCCATCTCTTAGAACAGTCTGTGGAGATATTCAGTCATCCAGGTCATAATTGTCTCAAAAGTACTTTTTTTTAAAAGGCAACTAGACTGTTTTTTCCTTGAGGAAGAAGAACAAAACATTTTTTTCTCATCCTAAGAAATTTCATCAGTTGTGATGGGGGGAGGGATGGAGGATAGGTTCTGACCGGATGGTAGTTTTTACTGATATTTTCCTATCAGTAAAGAGGGAAAAGAAAAAGAACTAAAATATGTTAAGGAATCCCTCAAAACCTGTGATTATCCAAATTGGGCCTTCATCAAATCCAGAAAAAGATCTAGCAGGAGCTCCTCCATTTCAGACAAGAGAACAACAAATGTAGCAACGTCATTCCATATGTTGCAGGAATATTTGAAAAGTTCAGGAGAATTTTCAACCAGCACAACATACATGTACACTTTAAGCCCAAAAATATACTAAGGCAAAAGCTTGTCCACCCCCGGGATAAAACACCCAGACAAAAACTTGAGCAAAGCGATATATGCAGTACAATGCAGTGAGATATGTGCAGATCTGTACATTGGTAAAACAAAACCATTTCACAAGTGCACGACAACATAGTACATCAAACCCATCACGGCAAGATTCAGCTGTCTATCTGCATTTGAAAGACAAAGGTCACTTTTTTGAAGATGGCAAAGACCACATTTTGGATAGAGGATAGAATAGAATAGAGCTGGAAGGGATCTTGGACATCTTCTAGTCCAGCCCCCTGCTCAAGCAGGAGAACCTATGCCATCTCAGACAAGTGACTGTCTAGCCTCTTTTTAAAAATCTCCAGTGATGGAGCATACGATTTCTGGGGGCAAACTATTCCACTGGTTAATTGTCCTCACTGTCAGGAAGTTTCTCCTTAATTCCAGGTTGCTTCTCTCTTTGATCAGTTTCCAACTATTGTTTCTTGTCCTGCCCTTTGGTGCTTTGGTGAATAACGTGACCCCCTCTTCTTTGTGGCAGCCCCTCAAATACTAGAATACTGCTATCATGTCTCCCCTGTTTCTTCTTTTCTTTAGACTAGCCAAACCCAAGTCCTGCAGCCGTTCTTCGTATGTTTTAATATCAAGGTCTTTGATCATCTTAGTTGCTCTTCTCTGAATTTTTTCCAAACATTCAACATCTTTTTTGTGATATGGTGACCAAAATTGGCTGCAGTATGCCAGGTGTGGTCTTACTAGGGTTTTATAAAATACTAATACCTCGCATGATCTTGATTCTATGCCTCTGTTTATACAACCCAGGATTGTATTAGCTTTTTTGGCTGCTGCTGCACACTGCTGGTTCATGGTTAAGTGATCGTCCACTAGGACTCCAAGGTCCCTCTCACAGTTACTGTTTTTAAGCCAGGTCTTGCCCAATCTGTTCTTGTACCTTTGATTTTTCCTACCTAAATGTAAAACTTTGCTTTTCTCCACATTGAAACTCATTTTGTTGGATAGGGCCCATTGTTCAAGTTTGTCAAGATCTTTTTGGATCCTTACTTGGTCTTCTGGGGTGTTGGCTACTCCTGCCAGTTTGGTGTAATCTGCAAATTCGATGAGTTCCCCTTCAATTCCCTCATCTAAGTCATGAATGAAGATATTGAAGAGTACTGGGCCTAGGGCGGAACCTTATGGTACCCCACTGCTTACTTCTTTCCATATGGATGTAGTGCCCTTGAGGACTACTCATTGAGTATAGTTTGCCAGCCAGCTACAGATCCATCTAGTGGTGATGTTGTCTATTACACCTTTTTCTAGCTTACCAAGGAGTAGGTTGTGGTCTACTTTATCAAATGCCTTACTGAAGTCTAAGTATACTACGTCCACAGTATTTCACTGGTCTATTTAGGCACTTTGTTGCAGAATGAAATAAGATTGGTTTGGCATGATCTGTTTTTAACAAACCCGTGCTGGCTACTAGTTATAACTTTGTTTGCTTCTAGTTGTTTGCAGATCTGTTTTTTGATTATCTTTTCTAGGATCTTCCGAGGTATTGATATTAAACTGATTGGTCTGTAGTTTCCTGGGTCTGTTTTTTCTCCCTTTCTTGAAGATGGGAACCACATCAGCCCTTTTCCAATCCTCAGGTACTTCACCTGTGCTCCAGGATTTTTTAAAGATATGGTGCAGTGGTTCTGAGTTAACATCCACCAGCTTCTTCAGAACTGTGGGATGTAATCTGTCAGGCCCCGGTGATTTATATTCATCAAGGTCTGATAAGTGTTCTCTTACCATTTTCTTGCTTATTTTAATTTTTGTTTCTAATTTGTCTTTTGCAGTGGTTTTTTGGGGGTATGTTAGTTTCTTTTTGTGTGAAGACTGACGTAAAGTATGAGTTAAGCAGCTCTGTTTTCTCCCTATTGCCTGTTATTTCCTTGCTATCTTCTCTCTTTAGTGGACCTACAGTTTCCTTGACTTTTTTCTTGTTAATATGTTGGAAGAAACTTTTTTTTTTATTATCCATGATTTCTGTTGCAAGTCTTTGTTCGTTCTGAGCCTTTGCTTTCCTGACTTCATCTTTACATGTTCTGGCTGTCTGCTGATAATCGGCCTTAGTTATGTGCCCCTCTTTCCATTTTTTGTATTTGTCTTTTTTGTCTTTCAGTTTGTCAGAGAGATCTTTGTGCAGCCATGCTGGTTTTTTCTTGAATTTCTTGTTTTTCTTTTTCAGTGCTATTGTGCTGGTCTGGGCTTTTATGATTGCATTTTTTAGAGTTTCCCACGCTTCTTGGGTTTTTTTCTGCTTTAGGATTTTCATCAATGGGATCTTTCCTAGGTTTTCTCTGAGTTTGTTAAAGTCAGCTCTTTTGAAGTTCAAGACACTGGTTGGATTGTTTTCTGTTGCTAGTGTTTGTGCTACATTAAATTCCAGTATGACATGGTCACTTTCGCCCAAGGTTCCGGCAACGTCAACTCCCTCTATCACTTCTTCTCTATTAGTTAGAATTAAGTCCAGTATGGCTTTACATCTAGTTCCCTCCTCCACCTTTTGGATGACAAAGTTGTCAGCTAGGTTGGTTAGGAATCTGTTTGATCTCCCGCTCGCTGCAGAGTTTGTCTCCCAGTTGCTATCTGGATAGTTGAAGTCTCCCGTTACTATTGTGGTATGCTTCCTACATACATTTGTTAACTGGTTGGCAAAGAGTTCATCTATTTGTTCTGATTGGTTGGGTGGTCTGTAATATACACCTATGGTAATGTCACTTTTTTTCTCTGTTATATTGACCCATATGCATTCTGGAGAGATTTTATCTTTGATCATGTGCGTTTCTGTAGATAGTGTTTTCTTACATATAGTGCAACTCCCCCTTCTTTTGAACAATTTATATCTATCCATCAGTCCATTCTGTTCATGGGTTTCATCCCACCAGGTTTCTGTAATACCAACTATGTTATACTCTCCCTCGTATACTGTTGCTTCTAGTTCGCCCTGTTTGTTCCCCAAGCATTGAGCATTTGTATATAAGCATTTAAGGCTTTTGTGCCTGTGCGTGGGTATGTTTCCTGCACCTCCTGAATGTTGTTTGAGTTTTTCTTTTTTCTTTTCATCTCTGCCCACGTCATTGTTTGATTTGTTTTTTTGAGATTTATGATTGGTTGGATTGGATCATTGGTTTGAAAGAGGTGTAAAAGAGGCAATTCATGTCAGCACTGAGCAGCCCTCTCTGAACAGAGGGGGAGGGATAAGATACCACTTATCTCTAGTCTACAACACAGCGTTTGCAGCAGTGCCAAGAAGATTCCACAACCAATTGTACCCTGAGGGATAATCCTCATAGAGAGTTCTAGAGAACCAGATGACTGCAAAGAAATACAATTCTTCCATCCCCCCCTCCACACACTATCCGGTCAGAATCTATCCTCCATCCTTCATAGGGTTGCCAGGTGTCCACTATTTGAGTGGACAGTCCACTTTTTTCACATTATGTTCACTATTTTTTTTTCACAAAATAGTGGACATTTTTTTATTCAAAAGCTTCATGATGAAATGGTACGTAATCTAAAGCTGTACAGTCTACTTTTTTTACTACTTAACACCCCCCCCCCCGCTTGTCCGCTATTTTTTGGAAGCAGACCTGGCAACCCTAATCCTTCACCACCACCACCACCACCACAACTGATGAAGTTTCTTAGATGAGAAATGAAATGTTTTGTTCTTCTTCCTCAAGGAAAAACAGTCCAGTTGCCTTTAAAAAAAACACAACACTTTTGAGATTCTTAGAACAGTGTTTCTCAACCTTGGCAGCTGGAAAATGTGTGTACTTCAACCCTGAGAATTCCCCAACCAGTAAAAGATGGCTGTGGAATTCTGGGAGTTGAAATACCCATATCTTAAACTTGCCGAGGTTGAGAAACACCGTCACAGAACATAATACAATATGGTTGGAAGGGACTTTGGAGGTTTTCTACTCTAGCCCTCCTTGCCCTGATCTCCATCCTGGAAGGATATTGCATCGTTTTTAATTCACAAGCCAACAGTTGCTGGAAACGTTGGAAGCGATTCCCAGCTGCGTGCTCTTCCTTTTCCAAAAATACTCTCTTCCCTAATTATGCTCAAAGTTTACCCAGGCTGACGCCACCCCCCCCCCCCAAACCGTGATCCTTGACAGCTTTCAGCCAGCAAGATCTCCGGAGAGTACCAGTTGCCCACACGCTAGCATCCAACCGCGCTTTAGCCACGGCACGCGTGTTGTGCAAACCCAGCCCCTCTCACGGGACTTGCCTAGCATTAGAAATTCCGCGTCTCGGAGGATCTTCCCCCCTCGCCCCGTTCCGCTGAGCTTTTTCATATCCCGTCTCGTCAGAGGGGGCGCTGTGACGAGTGAGGGCGATCGGAGCCGGGTGGCAACATTAGCCGCTTCCGCTTCCGCTCCCACCATCTTGCCGTGAGACAGCAGCAAGCGGGGAACTGGTGGATTTGGAGCAACGATGCTGTCGACCGCTGGTTACGTTGACCCTGTGTTCGGGTTGCCCAGAGAGATCAGAGAGAGCTCTGCGGTGCAACGTCGCTTCTCTCCGTATACTTTCAATGGCGGGTAAGCGCTTCGTTCGTTGTGCGCCGGTGTTTTTCTTTGGCGCTTCCTCTCCCTTTAGACCAGGGGTCCTCCACCTTGGCAACTTTAAGACTTGTGGACTTCAACTCCCAGAATTCCTCAGCCAGCAAAGCTGGCTGAGGAATTCTGGGAGTTGAAGTCCACAAGTCTTAAAGTTGCCAAGGTGGAGGACCCCTGCTTTAGACTGATCCTGCCTTTCAGCAAAGCTTCTCCGAGTGAGGTTAGTTTCTTTTTCTCGCCCTGCCCTCTCATCCCCCTGTGCAGTAGGAGAATGTGCAGTTATTCTGTTTTTCCTCAAGCTCTTGTTTCTTCCATAACTTAAAACTCGTCTGTAAATCCCTGAAAGGCCTGGATGTGACTTCTAACTAAATGTATATAAAGCATGGTAAAACTCAGTAAGATCATTACAGCCACAAAGGCCATACTTTCACTTTAGAAGCAGCAGCAGAGTATAATAATGTGGATTTAGTGATGCATTAAATGTAGGGATTCTTTCAAAGGCAACCCAGAAATTTAAGCAAGGCTGAATTACCAGTAGCAACTGGTTGAAATTATCTTGTGCCAGGGCTATAGCTCAGGATTGATTTTCTAAACCCAGTGCAACGTGTTGCTTTTGACTTACAAATTCCTAAATATTTAGTACTCTCCAAGAGAAGTTTCCTTGGCGTAAATATTAATGCGCAAAGCAAGAGTGTACAGTAATTTCTGTTTGCCTTTTGGAAACTGACTAAGCAATACTCAATGGACACGCTAACTCCTGGTCCTGAAGTGTTATTTACAGCAGATTTTATTTGCTTCAGATGTCACCTTCAGTTTCCTTATATGCTGCTACTTGTTTGATTCTTTATCCAGCTTATTTAGGGAACTCTTTATCCAGCTTATTTAGGGACCTTTTAAATATAGTAAATGTTAAATGTAAAATTCAAAAGAAAGGCAACTGTTTTCCTTAAAAGCTTGTCGTCTTATTGCTTTCCATAATTTTTAAATGTGGATAAAAAGAGATTACGGAAAACTTCCAAGTAAATAGCATCTAAACCAAAAAGAGGGTATCTTGAGGCTTCAGTGTGGAAGCCTCCATCCATGCATACTTAAGGTAAATTGGAAGAATGATTTCCTGCCAATTTGAGGTGGGAAATGCACATTTTAAGGCAAAGTTAAATAGAATGAATGTTGGAGAACTTCCATAATGTTTCTAAAAAGTAAACCTCTTGAGACAACTCTCTTCTCCCAGCCCATATTGTGCCCCTATGTATCATCAGTGGAAAGTGCTGTTTCGGCTCCCCATAGCTATTGAACTCCGACTGATGTCACACATTTTTACATTTTATGGCTGTGAGCAACTGAGTATAATTCTTACCTTTAAAAAAAAAGTCTAAAGGGCACAAGTAAAACTAAAATGCTGATATGGAAGGTTCCACAGTAAATGTAAATGAATAAAGGCTAAACAATTACAAAAAAAATCAATTCTCTTTTTTTTACCCCTTCAGGACCATATTGGCAATTGCTGGTGAAGACTTTGTTGTTGTCGCTTCAGACACCCGACTGAGTGAAGACTACGCAATTCATAGCCGGGACAGCCCTAAATGTTACAAGCTGTAAGTTTGATCCAGGCTTAGTGATATTTGGAACATGCTCATAAAAAAACATTTATTTTTATTTATAAAATTTATTGGCCACTCATCTTATCACAGGGTAACTCTGGACAGTGTAAAAATATATTTATACAGTACATTAAAGCATAAAGCCAAATATTAGAATCTGATGACATGTAGGGAGGGCGGGGGGTGAAGGGGATAGAGGTGGGATCTGTTGTTATTCTATCAACCACCTCTGCTGCGTTTTTCCCCTGTTGGGACCCCAATCAACTGGCAGAGCTAATTCTGAGATGCTTATGAAAGGATAGGAGGGTTGGGGCCAACCTCACGTGGGGGGGCAAGATGTTCCAGAGGAGCAACAGCAGAGAAGGCCCTCCTCTTGGACCTCACCAGCTGGAATAATCGGGCTATGGGACCCACAGCATGTCTCCTCTGCCGGCACAAGTGTGACGGGCCAATCCCAGTGGGGTGAGACAGGCCCTCAGTAGCCTGGATCCATGCCATGAAGGGTTTTAAAGGTGATCACCATTCTGCACCAGCTGTAGCTTCTGGATGCTCTTCAAGGGTAGCCCCATGTAGAGTGCATTACAATAGCCCAATCATGGGATGACCAGGGACCGAATGATTGAGTGTAGTCTATGTTTTAATTACTAAAACTGTGTTAAAACAATCTGTTCTGTTATATACTTCTTTTTTAATTTATCTATTAAATAGAACAACAGTTGCATTACCAAAAGATTTAGCCTGTTCTTAATACTTCTACTAAGATAATACATTTTTCAGTTGCTCCAGATAGTGTATTCTTTTATCAGAGGGCTTGAGAACTACAGGTTTCAACACCCTGCAGGTCCAGTATTGCATATCAAAAAGATTGTGAAATGTGCACTGATGATGTTACCTAGTTTGGTAATGAAACATCTGCAATAAAACAACCAAGCTGAGAGAGCACCAAGGACCCCACAGTTCAACCCAGAGCTACAAATATTCTTTTCTGATGTAGTTTTTTTTTCTTCCATCCTGGGCAAAAGTGAGCACATGTAGCTTTTTATTGCTATGTGTGTGCTCACTTTAAAGTGTAACAATGATTAAAAATTCATTCACTCAGGATAAGTTTTCCTCTGATTTAATTTCATTTGGAAAAGTAAAATGCTTCACTATAAGTAAATGAAATATTTAACTTGGGGGAGGGAAAATGTATCTTAATAACTTCAGTATTTGCCAGTGTTGTAGAGTAGCACTGCAGTAGTTTAAGTCTAGCATAAGGGGCACCTTGGGTAATATTCCCATACAGCCATTAATTTTAGTATCACTCATTGTCTCTCAGTCTAAAGCAGAAAAGTCCGATAGATTTAGACCAGTGTTTCTTAAGCTCAGCAACTTTAAGATGAACGTTAACTGACTGATGGGCTAGGGAATTCTGGAAGTTGAAGTCCTCACATTTTAAAGTTAGGCTGAGAAACATTGGTTTAAATCGTTTCCCAGTTTGGCTTGGGTGACTGCTAGTGCAAATCCATTAGATTGTGCTTGAAGATTAACTACATAAGGAGTTTTGAACATCTGTTAATTTTGATTAGGATGTGCCCTTTGAAAATTTACCCTGTTTTTCTTCTGTTGGTTGAGATAGTCATTATAAGTAACAATGTGAATGTTTGAAGAAAAAACAGATCTAAAACCCCATGAATTTACAAAAATAGCAATGTGTTTCTTGTACTGTTTGGTGAATAATTCATAATTGTTGGATGTGGAAGGGACCGAGGGGGGGGGGTGTTGTTCACATGCATATAAACAAGGAGGCTTTTGTAACTTCCCTGAAATCAGTTCCTTAGTATATTTAGCACTTGTTCAAAGTGTTATTTTCTATATTTGACATAGTTTACTGCAGTATTGAAAGAAGTATATATAAAATAACCCTAGGAGAATACATTGTTGTAGTGTGTCAAAATTACTTACAATCTTATCAATATTATGTTTGTACAGGACAGATACAACAGTTATTGGCTGCAGTGGATTTCATGGAGACTGTCTTACCCTTACTAAAATCCTCGAAGCAAGATTGAAAGTAGGTTATTGTATATGACTTAGTATTGAAATTGTACTCAATTGTTACATTAATTTGATATGTTGACACTTAAATCCCCTTTTCCTCTTTATACACATAATAAATTCAGTGTTTAATTTGTGCTTGCTCAGGTTGTTACATAAGTATTTATACAACTTTTTCTGCTGAGTGCTATTTTACTTATAATTTGCATCACAGGAAGCTCTAAAAAACAGAAAATACTCAAAATAAATGTCCAAGGTTTCTTACTGTTCTTTTCTTTGCAAGCTTCATCTTTTATATTTTTGTAAACTGTCTGGTTTTATTATTCTTTAAACTGTTGGAATATCATTTCAAAGTGACATGTAGCATTCAAATGAATATGCCTGTTTAAGGAAGTTGCTAAGATATATTTCACTTGTATAGTGTTGTTAAAAAATAGTGCAAGTCACAGCATGAATTTACTTCATTTTCTCTTTACCATTAATCTCAGTTGTATAAATGAGATATAGGAAACATGTAATAATGAGTGATTGTGGCTGTTAAAAAGCTTATTGCAAACTTGTATATAAGAGCTGAATTTGTACCAAAAGTAGAAGTACAGTGCTAACGTATTTTTGTAGCAGAAGAGGAAAATTAATCTTCTGTCTTGGACGCTGGAATATGATAAGTAAATTATCAGCCTAATTTATTTTTTTCATTAACAAATTCTGATTTATTTTTCTTGGTTAGAGCAAATGAGTCCTGTTTTATTTTAATATGTTTTTTCAGTAGATATCTGCTTGCTTGGAAATTCATGTTAGGGACAATTTTAGCAAGAACATTTTGCTTACCTCTGTTGTAAATATGTTCCAGATGTACAAGCATTCCAATAATAAGATCATGACTTCAGGAGCAATTGCAGCCATGCTTTCTACAATCCTGTACTCACGACGCTTCTTCCCTTATTATGTTTACAACATAATTGGTGGATTGGATGAGGAAGGTAAGTTCCATTTGGATTCCTGTAAAAGTGTTAAGGAGATCACTTGCCCAGAGATATCGGACAATAGCTTTGACTGGGAAAATAAAGCAGTTCTTATAATATGATTCTGAAGTTACCGTTTAAAAAGTAAAAGCTTTTTAAACATATAGCAATATGTTTAGCACACATACTAATATAAAGATTATTTAAATTGATTGTAGTTGCCCACTCTAATGGGCTTTCAGTGGCTTACAAAATATAATATTAAATTAAAACAATGAAAAACATAAAACAAGGTGGTCCTGATTAAAAACAGCCATTAAAATAACATGACAGCTTCACCTCTCCAAACATGTAAATCCCAGGATAGTAATTGTGTATTTATAAATGTGTAAATCTTTAGTAGAGCATGTGGTTTCATCATAATAGTTTTCTGTTGTGGTATGAATCACATTTGGGTGGTTAAAATGCAATCCTCTGGTACTTAAACAGCCTGTGATGTTCATTTGTACTTATTCCAAAGGTGGAATTAAACTCTATGGAATTTAAAAGGGGCGAAAACCAATCTCTTCGGATATTTATGTTCAGTTCACAAAAGAAGGAGTTTCTAGTTTTCTTGAAGAGAATTTCATCTTACTAGAAATAAATACAGTTCACACAAACAAAATATGAGGTTAGATCAAAAGATGATGTAATAGGCTAGCGTAGCTGGCTTTTCTCTCCTGATTAAAAACTTCCAAGTTTGAAGAACTCCATGGAGTGTCATGCCCTGCAACAACCCCAAAAGAGAACACTGAACATGGTGCAAAGATTTCCATTTGAATTGTTATATATTCACAAGGATAGATGCAGAATTTTCTTTCTATAGATATGATGATTCTTCATTGTAACCAATTTATTATTTTGTAAACAAGAAAATCTATAGAGTTTGCACAAGATCTAAAATAACAGGCAGAAATATTTAATATTTATCATTAAATTGTAAGCACCTAGTGTGCTCTTAGCAATTGCTATGAGTCTTTGATTTAAAAAAAAAATCAGGGAAGATCAGTCATTGTGATCTAAAGTGTTTTGCCTATGTTAAAGAAAAGAAGCAAACAGACTCTTATTGTTTCATTTTCTCCATTTAGCAGTATAAATTCTGTGAGACAAAAAGTATGTGGGAACTTTACATGATACAGACTTTACATTATACTTTTACATAGTGTTAAATTTTTATTTAGTCCCTGATTTGTATGCCTTTCTTTTTGCAAGTTAGTGATCATACCTGTTCAGTTTTGTTACACCTGTTTAACAGGTATACCTGTTAAAAGTGCAGGGTTAAATTAAACTTCTGTTTAAACTAAAGTTCTGTTTAGGAAACACAAATCTTTGGTTTCCATTAGGTGGTTTAACTTGGTTCATTATTTTGTATTGTGTTCTCACTTTATTAATGACTATCATTTTGAATCAATTTTATTACACTGTACTTAACTGTCAAGTCCTTGTTCCAGCATGTGACATTCCTATACACCTATTTTACTTTTCTAGGGAAAGGTGCGGTATACAGTTTTGATCCAGTAGGATCTTACCAGAGAGATAGTTTCAAAGCTGGTGGATCAGCTAGTGCTATGCTGCAACCTCTGCTGGACAATCAGGTAAGTGTTCTTCCATTGTTGTGCATCTATTGATACAGTGATGTCTGGGCCCTTAACTCTTTCTAAAATATTATTTGGGAGCCATCAGAATAATTTTTCAGAAGATGAAAGAATCCTTCACCCTAAGCCATAATGTGGTTTATTCATTTTGGATTATATATTGTGAAAAATAGTAGGAATAAGAAAGGTAAATTCATAACCACTGACATTTTATTGCCACTCTGCTTATGGCAGTTAAAAATGAGCCTTATAAGCCTAGATTGAATAGTTTTACACAACTTGGTTTTTCGCTCTCGCTTACTAGCTTTAGGTACGGTTAAGATATTTAAATTTTAATAGCTGGAGCAGTGAAGGATTGGACAATGAGTAAGAACACACAATTATAGCTTATTGATTGAAGAGAGCTGGCCACTGCATGAAGGAATCTGAACTATGATTGGTTATTGTGAGTGTAAAGGGGGAGTGCCTTGTTTCCCACTTTTTTCCTCTGTGTGCCTTGTATGCTCTCTGTGATTTACCTCATGATGTTCCTGTTGTGTTGATTTACCTGACGATGCTCCTGTTTACCTACCTTGTTTACTCTAAATATATTTATTTATATAAAATTGGTTCTTGTCAGCGTCTCTGACTCCATTTGGACCCCAGCTGTGCAATTCCCTGTCAGATTCTCTTTGAATAAGTGAGAGGGGAATCATTTCTGCAGAGGCGTTTGGTAGAATGTGTGTGTGTTCCTACAAAACCGTGCTACAGTCTAATGAACTGTGTTCAGCCATAGACATTGGAAGGCTGCTCGTGTACAAGCGAAGAACGAAGCAACTTCATTCCTCTTAATACAACTCATTGATCTGAATGCTACTTTTGTTTAAATGATAAGAACACCTTCGCTTTTGCAGAATGTTGATTTGCTATCTTCAGATGATAGTTGTATTAATGCATCTGAACAGGTGAAATTATTATAATGTAATGCTGAATCATTGCTGTTGTAATCAACACGGTAGACTTGTTCTACCAAGCTATAAACTATTTAAAATGTTTTTTTTCTCTTTAAAAGGTTGGCCTCAAGAACATGCAGGGTGTGAAACAATTGCCTTTGTCCTTGGAAAAGGCTTTGCAGCTGGTAAAGGATGTCTTCATTTCTGCTGCAGAAAGAGATGTTTATACAGGAGATGCACTAAAGATCTGCATTATCACAAAAGATGGAATTAAAGAAGAAAGCTTTCCACTGAGAAGAGATTAATCGCTGCACCATTCAGTTAAAATGCTTGATCTCTAACAGTCATTTTTATGCAGATTGTTTACAGGTAGCATGTTAACATTTGATAAATTAAAATAAGGGGAAAAATTGATGCTTCATGTGTAATGTTTCATGACATGTTCTACAAATAGAATTTGGGTTATGTGACCTCAGCTTATGGAGAGAATCTATTCATTTGTACAATCTACAAGTTTATTATTTGATGCAGAATACAAAGAATTTCTTAAACATCCCAGGGTTCATTCCTTGTGTATTTCTATAGGCAAGCTGATTGGGGATTCTGGAAATTTCAACATTTCTAGAAGTTACATTACCTAAAAGTAGCCATGTGAATGAAGTTAAATGCATATCTATATATAATATGCATTTTTTAAAAAATGAAATAGTAGCAGTTGAGGAACTGACATTTCTTGGTACCAATTATTAAAAAAATAAGATGGATGATGTGTAATTTTCCTGTCAGCATTATACAGTAGAAGTGAGGATTTTTTTTAACTGCCTTGCCCTGTCTAAAGTCCTGGAATTCCCTACCGGGCTTCTAATTAAGTACTAGCTTCTAAGCATAGATACCAACCATATGATGCCACATAGCATAAATGCAATATATGTTAATGTATTTGATTGGCTGAAAATATATTTTAACATCTCTAATACACATGTCCTTCCCATGAAATATCTTCTAGGCACATGGGCAAGATTTAAAAAAAAAAATTGCCCCTAAGGTTAATTATTTAAACATTGTTTCCTAATGTTTAGTTAAAAGGTTCAGCAAATTATACTACGGTGCCATGGGTGTCTGCAGAAAAACCAAGGTTTTGTCAAAGCGAAGAAACTTGTATAATGACATCATAAAGCAAGTTCCATCCCTTACATACTTGAAAGCAAGTGATGAAGCAAATAAGGAAGAAGTAGACTTTGCATTGTGATACTGCAGTGTGTATTTCTTCATTTGCTTTTCTTCCTCCGTTTCCCAGATTTCCATGTACAGTGTCATGTATCTCACTCACTCTGGCTTGGGAATTGTTTCAGAATATTTTTGCAAGTTATCAGCAAACTTCTGATTATGATATTAGGGTGCTTGACACCTTTGGTAATCTATTAAGGACTGTAGATATAAGCACCCCGTTGTTGGCTAATTGCTAATTGCAGCTAAACGATGCATGGACATGGCTGCAACTTGGCAATAAAGGTCATGTTATCTGTACAGAAGAACTCCATATTAAGTCTCCAGCATCTCCAGAACAAAACTGGACAAATGGTCTGAATGCCATCATTCATCAGTGTTGATAATACTGGATTAGATTAGGATGGGCAACTATGACAACATTGCAACCTGTGGACTTTAACTCCCAGAATTTCTGAGCCAACATGCGTAAAGTTACCATAGTTGGTCACCACTGGGCTAGATCGTTCTTTATTTAACAGGAAGAACGTCTTGTATATATTTGCTTTTGTAAGTACAATATGAATGGAATTCAGGTACCTTTTACCTAGAACTTCAACTTACATTCTTCTATGATACTGTACATAAAAGCAGAGAGTAAGATATGTGCCTCTCTAAAGAGGTGGTTCTTTCATTAAAATTGGAAACTAGATTTCTGTTCTAAAACGATGGCTCATCTGAAGCTAGATAATTGATTTAAAATGCTATGTGGCTTGGCAGTTTCACTTATTCACCTGGAATGGTGAAAGTGCACTCATTTTTATGTACTAAAATCAGTAAAAGAGGTAGTCTGTGAGTAGTTTTTATACATTGGTATATCTCAAGACCGTGATGAAAAAAACTCCTTTTTTTTTTCTTTCGTTGTATGTGACAGATGAGAAAATGCTACATTCCCCATATTCTTTGACTTGTTTAAAGGCCTTGTGTTTACTATTCAAGGATAGTGCTTTTCTACCAAAGGGTTTGGCAAAGCTGTTGCATTAGTGACCATTAGGTGGCAACATTGCTATTTTAAAGTGAAGAGGTCCTGTGATTAAGAAGCATGGAAAATCTTTCTGAATGGTAGTTATCTAAACAGAATAAATAGCTCATGAAAATTAAACATACTATGTATCTATATCACTGTTAACATCTTCCTAGGCAGGTATTTTCATATGAGAATATTTGTCTTAGCATTAAGCTCTTATCGGGAAAATATAGACGGTATCTTTATTTTTCATAGATAGATAGAAATCAGGATGAGGTAATATAAATACAATATTGCCTTGAATTGCCTACCAGTCAGTTTTATTTGGTGACCCCAAGTTTTAGTATTATGGCAATGGAAGTCCAAATTTCTCCCTAAGTAGTATGTATGATTTTATCCACCTTTGCCATATATTCTCTTATTAATATGTCTAAATACCAAAACATTACAGATTCTCCGACCTTTTCTTTCTAGATGTTGTCCTTTTATACCTTGTTCTTTTCTGTACTTGATATCTTTTGGTAATTTGGAGAAACCCAGAACTGATCTTGTGGTTTCCCACAAGCAGAATCAATGGGGAAGCTAGCGGGAAGTTGCAAGTTACATGAGGTCCTTACTTAACAACAGCAACCAGGACCACATGAAATATATATCAACCTTTGCCAACCTGTTGTCACATGGTTTTTCAGCTTATGATTGTGCCATATAATGATAGAGTTTCCAGTGACAATTAGTGTTGTTAAGTGAGGACTAGTACAACCATCAAAACAAACTTTAAACTAGTTACTAGTAATTTCCCAGCTTAACCTGTTTTACAGAAGTATTGTAAAGACAAATAGGAAGGGTACACAATATGTATAAACTATTTGGAACAGAGACACAATAAGAACATAAAGTTAAAAATTCTAAAACACTTGTTTGGTGGGATTTTTGATTTTGGTTCCTTTTAGTCAGTGTTGACTCCTAGCAGTTGGCCAGACAAATGCCTGCAAATTTCTTGGCATAATTTCAGAAGTGGTTTGCTACTGCCTGCTTCCTAGGGCTGAGAGAGAATGACTGACCCATGGTTATCCAGCTGGCTTTGTGCCCTATGGTGGGAATAGAACTCACAGTTTCCAGGTTTCTAGCCTAATGCCTTAACCATTACATCAAACTGGCTATTGAACAGTTGCTTATCCTTGTAAATGCAAATCTATGAAGCTTTCAGTTCAAGTGACAAGTTGGGTATGCATATTTCAGGCACATCCCCCTTTTGCAATTCATACACTCATCTTGTTGCCTGATTTTGTTTTATTGTGGTAAAAGTCTATTTATCATACACTATTTAGTAAAATTTGAAGTTAACATTTGCTGCTGTCATAAATCCTTAAACATAACAACCTCCATCACCTAGTAATGTCCCTCCTCAAACAAGCTCAGCCATTATGATAATCAAACATAGATAATAGCCCCTGAATGACTGAAAGTTCAGCAGTCAATCTATTCTATGTAAATACCAAGGCAAAGTCATATTCTGGACCAAAGGATTCAGAAATCCCCCATTTTAATTGGTTAATGAATTTATTTTTTTGTTAATGGATCATCTTCCTAAATAGGCCATCTGATACAGCAATCATACAATGCTCTTTCATATTTGTGTAATGTCAACCCACAGAGACATTCAATTTTAATCCTAAGTAGTTTTCAAACAAGCACATGAATGTTCAAGTTATCAGTGCATAGTTTAGGATCTCAAAAAGTACTGGGCTTACAATTACCTTTGGCCATGTTCTACCAGTTGTAAGTTGGATCCAGATGTTCTCAGAGGAGCTACTGAATCAATTTGCTTTGATGTGTAGTTTTCAACCTTTATTCTGAGGAGGTAAGGTATATACAGGATTAAGCATTGTTCTCAATATATTTTGTATAACTTTAATGAAAGTCTTACAATATACATGATTTATGATGTCCAGAAGCCTATATTAGGCTTCAGTACAGTGCCAACTAACAATTTAATCAGTAAGCGATCATCTCTTTACCACAGCCAGAACATAGGTTAACATTTATCTCTAAGTATAAATGGGAAGAAGGGAACATGAATACTTTAATGTAACCTTTGAAAGCCATAGTCACCACAAATGGGGAGGCAATGACCACTTTAAATTTGATCTGAAAATAATCCAGAGCAATGAATGGGTTCATTTGTAATCTTCATTGTTCAATACTTCTCAGTGAGCATTTTGCCATTTAGCTGATAAGATTTCAGTAGGCCAGAAGATGGATCTATGTGCCCTCTCCCTCTCATCCCTCCCTCCCTCCTTCTCTCTCTCTCTCCCTTCCTCTTCCTCTCCCTCTCCCGACTGAGCAAACACGTGTCACAGAGTAGCAGCAACCCCCTGCTAGCTAAATGTGAACTAATAGTACAGCTTCAGAAAAAAAAAACCACATCTTCTTGTCATTTTGATAATTAAACGAGTGAATATATGTGATCACTAAAAGCAAAGATAACCATGTTTGTTGATGGGGAAAATATCTAAAATGTTAAACCATAGTGCTTTGGTATCTTTATCTCCAAGTTCTACAGAACCTGAAAGCTTACTGCTTCTTTTTGGTTCAATTTGTTTGATCTCAAGGTATCAAATTCTTACGCATATTCCGTTTCTCTTCCTGTTCCATCCCACATTAATGACATTTATAGATAGAGCACAGTTCTAAACAGGTCAAATAAAAATGCCTTTCCTTTTTCCAACATCATTTTTAAATAGGGCTCTTAAAGCAAGTCTTTTACAGGGTAGGATGGTTAGAATCTATTTGATCTCAGCTATAGAATGAAAAAAAATTTAAACTCTTTTTTCAAATTTATCCCATAAAAATATTTTTTATTTGAATGTACATTTGGTTTAGAGTATTATATGTGGGGTATTGTATCAGCTAAGTTTTTCTTAAATGGCAGTGGTTTGTCACAATTGATCTGTTGCTTCCCAATAGTTCCCTGACTAATAGGTCCTGTCATCTGCTATCAGATCATTTTGGATACCATGAGAAATACCTCTGAGATGTTACTGGCTGAGTTTGAAATCTTCAATTTCCAGAGCATATCACTGAATCATGTTTCCTTCTCTGAACATACATTTAGGGAATATTCTTATCTTATGTATACAAAGTTCTGATAACTACTGACTCAAATGAACTGAAAATGGGAGGTAGAATGTACCACCCTTTGAGACTGTCACGTTTTCACAGTAGAAGCTTCCTCCTGCCTCTCCTCCTCCTCCTCCCCTTCCAGACCTTCTCTACAAAAATTTTACTTAGAAATAGTAAATTGAAGTGAATTCAGTCCCCTAATAAATCTTAATATGGGAGGATGTGATCCAAACATGCAGAAGGATTAAATGGAAACCAGAGCCCTGAACTACCCTGTACAAAGACTATGGACGGTATTAAAAGTTACAGGAAATGACAACCCCCCCCCTTCCCATATCCTTCAGTCCTTCAGATCCTGGTCATTTTTGATCTCTATCTCTACCATCATTGAAAATAAGCTGTTTTTCTAATCTGAAGGGGCTTGGGGGAACTTGATATTGCCTACATGCCAGTAACAAAAGCTATTACCGTCCCTTCCATGCATGGGGTATTTCTGTTCCGATTAGATTTCAGGAAAGCCACCCTTCTCACAAATCTCATGCTTAGCAATTGGTTTCCCTTCTCAAATTTGGCTGGAAGGATCTTTTAAACGCAGGATAATGATGTGTGACATTAAGCAGA